CTTCGCCTTACAGAAGCTTCTCAGTTTCAGGAGGTCCCATTTATTAATTGTTGATCTCAATGTCTGTGCTACTGGTGTTATGTTCAGGAAGTGGTCTACTGTACTGGGTTTATGTTGAGGTCTTTGATCCATTTTGACTTAAGTTTTGTGCAGGGCGAAAGGCTTGGTTCTATCTGTAGTCTTCTACATATTTGCATCCAGTTATGCCAGCACCATTTGTTGAAGATGTTCTCTGTTCCAGCGTTAAAAAGGCAAAATCTAGTCTTGATGAAGTGACTGTCATGACTGTCTTCCTCATTTGTCTTATCAGGAGGCCTCACCGTAACTAGCACAGGAAAACACCCTTTTAAAGTGCAGAGGTGGGGTTTGGGTCCATCCCTTTTTGTTGATCCACATTAACTTCAGCCGACCACAGATAGATCATGGCTTCCTGCACATTCATTAAGTCTGTGTTCCTTTCTTCTCCAGGGCATGGCCTTTACACTTGAAGAAAGACTGCAGCTTGGCATCCACGGCCTGATCCCTCCCTGCTTCCTCAGCCAGGATGTCCAGCTCCTCCGCATCATGAGATACTATGAGAAACAACCAAGCGACCTGGACAAGTCAGTGGCTGAAGTCCATTCTCTGTGCCCAGTCCTGAGGCTGTGCTGCTCTGCACAATGGCTCCCAGAGGGTTTCTAAATTCTCTGTAACTAGGAAAGGCTGAGAGCCCGAGAGATTTCCAATCCAGTTCTGTCCTTAAAGAGTTATGTATGGTCTCCCTAGAGATAAGACTTACAACAGGAGCATGGCTAAAATGAACTTGGATAAGACAGGTGGAGCCTGGGAGGCCATCTGAGAGATGTTAGAGATGAGTCAGTCCCAGAAGCCTTGAGGGAACAACTCAACATTCAGCAGGGGCATGGGGGAGGGCAGAGCAGGAGATGGGCAAAAAAAAAAAAAAAAAAAAAAAAAAAAAAAAAAAAAAAAAAAAAAAAACTGGAGACATGGGGCTGTTAAGGAATATAGCAAAAGGAACAGTGGAGAAAAGGGAGATGGAGATGGATTGCCTTGTGAAGGATCTAGATGCTATGTTGAAGGTCATGGGCAGTAAGTCTTTGAGTCAACATTAACTGTTACTGAAGACAGTAGTCACTACCTAGGTACACATCATGAGTCAGCACAGGATTTAAACACTGCTGGCTACAACATCTATGTTTTTAACTTCTCTGCTGTACTTAGTTCAGAGATGACAAAGCCTGGTTGTTATATGACTAATTCTAGAATGAGTGAAATCAGCTTTCCTGCACTGAATACTAAAGCTACATTGCCAGTCTCTGTCCTTTGCCTGTGTTATGACTATGCCAATGGCATTTGACTCATTGGGTTTAGGAGAATTAAATGCATGTCTTTGTAATGTGCTTAGAATGTTGCCTGGGACATAGTAAACCCTGTATAAGTTTGTTAAACAAATGTGTCATCTTACCATGGGCTCTAGCAGATGTATGGGAAGAAGATAAAGGTTCTCTCTATATCAACTGAGCTAAATGGCTAGAACTAAATGTCCATGAAGGGCAGAGTTCAATAGCATACGAGGGTCATCCTGCATCTAGCTCCCAATGCCTCCTCCAAGCCACCCAGAGCTTCTGAGAAGCAGTTAACAAGCATGCCCCTGCCCACATCCATGTCCCCACTCCTAAAGCACTAAACTCCAGGGCTAATACAAGTCAAATGTTCTCTCCCTTTTGTTCATCTAGCCACATCATCTTGAAGAGCAAACCAGAAGTTACACAACAGGTTACACTAACAAACTGATGCATGGCCAAATGTTGAACAATCAGAAACTCCTGTTAAATGGACCAAAAAAGAACGAGAGTCCAAAATAAAATGTTTGCTTAAAATAGGAAGTTATAAAAGCTACAATCTCTAATGCTTGCCTTCTCAATGCTTTCCATCTTACTGGGCCTCACTTACTTGCCTAAAATGAGGCTCTAGGATCAGGAAGTGATGAATGTGTATACTCCTGAGAGCTCTAGAGGGCTTGCTCCTGGCTCTCTGCTTTCCTACACTCACTCCCAAGAGTCTCTCATTTCAACAGATGATTGGGAGAAAGACTAAGAAGGCTCCCCAACCATAGGGACTGTGGTATGCTGATAAGTGTTCCAGCGAGGAGGGGAGTAGAAGGTAGAATTGGAGAGAAGTGTACACTAAATGGCTAGGGAAATGGGATGTCCTACATTGGTAGTGGGTAGAGGGCATGCCTACCCCTGTGCGCAAATTCTCCCTGGAGCAAGGTCCACATTCTTAAGCACAGTGACATCATCCAGGGTCTGCCAAGCATCTGTGTCCCTGGAGTCAGCTGGCTTCTTCTATCCTTTCCAAGGTACATCATTCTCATGACTCTCCAAGACCGAAATGAGAAGCTCTTCTACCGGGTGCTGACCTCAGATGTGGAGAAGTTCATGCCCATTGTATACACACCCACAGTGGGCCTGGCCTGTCAGCAATACGGTCTGACCTTCCGACGACCTCGGTGAGTACCTACTAAAGGGGCCAAGGAGAGGCTGTCCCATAGAGGGGAAGAAATTGTTTCAAGTGGCATTGCTTCTTGACCCTTAGCAAGCTACCTTCGAGTCAATGGCTAACAGTGAGACATTTGATTTTAAACACGTGCTCAGTAAAATAACACCACCAACCTGGAAATGAGCTGAGAGAGAAGTTAGCAAGGGGATATTGGATCTTCTCCACCTCCGCATGATAAGTGGAGTTCAACAGGCTGCTTGGAGTTGGCCTGAGAAGCAGTTTCCATTGTTTTCACAGTCTCCACCTGTCACGTCGACACACCCTATCCCTTTTTCTGTTCACCTCCAACATACCTACAGATCTCTGGGTAACTGAGGACAATGAAGAGCCCTGAACACCAAACACATGCTCTCTTTCCAGCCCTTAAATCATATACCACCATTTGGAGTTGACTTAGATTCAATATAAAATTTCACTTTATAAGCAAAAACAATGGCATTACACTTTCTCTGAAAACTAAAGGATTGGAGAGAAATTTTCTAAAGAAATAGTTTTTCCCTTCATTTCAGTACTGAGTGTGTGTGTGTGTGTGTGTGTGTGTGTGTGTGTGTGTGTGTGTGCTAGAAAAATAGGACGGGTCTCAGTGGTTCTCAGTGCAAGGTACCTGATCTCTGTAACTATATAGTTTTTGCATTAACAATAAAAGAAAGGTCTAGATATATTATATGTAATAGAACATCATAGGAAAGCAATAATAAATGTACAGTATCCTGTAAACCAGGGGTTTTCAATGTTTCTAATGCTGCAACCCTTTAATACAGTTCCTCCTATTGTTGTGACCCCCCAACCACAAAATTATTTTCATTGCTACTTAATAACTGTAATTTTGCTACTGTTATGAATTTTGACGTAAATATCTGTGTTTTTCCGTAGTCTTAGGTGACCCCTGTGAAGGGGTTGGTTGATTCCAAAGGCCTTGCGACACACAGGTTGAGAACCACAACAAAACATATCTGTAATTTTCATTTATAAAATAGTTATGAATTAGATTTCTTGCTTTGCTTTGGTTTCATTTGTTATGGCTTAGTTTTTATTTTATTTGTCTATTTATTTACTTATTTTGGGTTTGTTTTTGAGATAGGGTTTCTTCATGTAGCCCTAGCTGTCCTGGAATTCACTCTGTACATGAAGCTGGCCTCGAACTCACAGAGGCCTTCCTGCCTCTGTCTCTTGAGTGCTGGGATCAAAGGTGTGTGCTACAACAACCCCAAGTGGCTAAGTATTTAAAAACAGGTTCTCCTGTAAGCCATGCTGGCCTGGAAACTCACAATATAGCAAATCTGTCTGCGATCTCTTGCTCATCTTGCTTCCACCCCTTGCCACCACTTTTTAAAGTATGTATTATATAGGGAGCATGTAATCATGGATCTGTGACAGCTTTAGTTAATTTCTGCTGGGCTGAGAAGGATGAATGGAAAGAATTGGGATTTAAAAAAAATTGTCTATGTGGAAAGCTGTACCCTAGGTGAGACATCTTTTATCAACTTCTCCAAAGCTCAAGAAACATCCAGAAGAGGAAGTGGAAAGAAAGTAGGAACTAGATGTTTGGGAGGAAGATTACAAAATAGCATCTTCTGGACTTGACAGGGACATTTTATTCATGAACTCACTGTAGCTGCAGTTACCTGCACAAGACTGGGCCATCACTTTGTCTCATACATGAGGAAGGAGCTCATGAGGCTCCAGCCCCTCACTGAGGCACTATGAGCAGGTTATGGGTGCTGGGGGTATGTCATTTTCTTTAGTGGAATATGAGGAACTGATACAATGCCCATATTCCAGTAAATAACCCCAACTAGTACCTATACAAGCAACTTTAGTTAAACTCAGTGAGTCAAAAAAAAAAAGACATCAAAGTAGGGGAGGTTGCTGGGGGGAGAGGGGGTTCCAAAAGGAAACAGAGGGAAATGAGAGTAGTGGGGGCGAAGTGAGCAAAAATTCAGAATATCCATGTTTGAAACTGTTAAATAATAAAAAAAAATAGAAACAAAAAAATCTAGCTAAGGGGAAAAGAGGGGCATATATCAAGGTCTGTGGAATCAAGATAAAACTAATTAGGGTTAGGAGTATACAAAAATCAGAACCACTCTAGCCACTGAGATGACTATATCTCCCTGGGTCAGTAGATGACATTCAGAAGGCTGGTGATAACTTTTTATAAGCTGATGAAAACTGACTACTATGTGATATGGTTAAGGGGAAGGTTTTTATTGTAAATATGAGGGAGAAAACAGCCAGAGACATCTGGAACAGTGCAGAGCAGAGAAAAAGAAGTTGACTGGACATGGCTAGCAGATTGGGCCTGGCCATGAGAGAAAGCAGGAGCAGAGCAGAGAACGAGAAAGGAGGGAGCAAGTGAAGGAGACAAAGAAAGGACCAATAGAGAAGCATAGCTGAAATATCAGGGTTATAGGGAGAAATAAGGGGGGGGCTCATGAGTTGAAGAGGGTTAGGGTAGGGGGGAGCGTTGAGAAGAACTGGGATGCCAGCGTGGACTCTGAAATGTGTAACAGGTACTTGTGGTACTGAGGGAGCCTGGAGGCCAGTGTGAATTTTAGTTTGCTAACGGGCACCACAGATAGCCATTTGTCCCTTCTGCCAGTGATAAGGGAAATAGCTCCTTACCTACAGACTGCTGACTTTGGTTCTAATCACCAGAATTTGGGGAAATGAAGTTTCCTTTGGACCCGACAGACCTAACAGAGGAACATTTGGTGGGATTTATGAGTTTTCACTGGGGAACAGGAAAGGGATAACTGAAAAAAAAAAGATACCCTTTTGAAAATTTGTATTGTTGTAGTTGTTGGAAACTCAGGAAGATATGGGGATCAAGAGGAATTTGTCTTTCATTGATGTGTTCTGATGTGAGACAGACTGGAGCAGTCTTCCTGGCAAATGTCTGATGGCTGCTCCCTTCCCATTTTTCATGCTCTATGTCACCCTCTGGTCCCAGTCTCATTACCTTGTTTTATTTTCATGTAGCACTTGTTTCTATCTCTAATACCTCTTACTCCTACCAAGAAAAAGTATGGAATTTTTAATTTTATTCATCTAGATATCAGCCTTTGTTAGTTAGAATGCCTGGCATCTAGCTCCCCATGGCAGTAAAACAGGAGGTCCAAGGGTCTGGATAGAATGGACAAAGATGTCTGCTCAAAAGTGAAGTCTCTTTCACATGATTGTGGGAGTTGGATTGATGGGGAGTTGTTTCTGGCTCAGATCAAATCAGACTTGTGTTCTCTAATGAGTCATCAACAGACAGAGCAGTGGTAGTAAGGTGGGCCTCAATGAGTGCAGAAACAGGATCCCAAACCACTTCCATATGGAGAACCAGGTCATCTCTAGGTGTAAATAGCATGGGTGCTGCAGCTGGAGACACAGCCTGGGGAAAAAAATAGGCAACAACACGAGCAAGAAGCCCAAAGATGAACTGGAATATGGAGAACACCATAACTGTAGGCCAGATACTCTCCTCAAATCTTTACACATCATATTAAATTATCATCATACCCTCAGGAGGTAGGCACTCTTATCTTCTGCAGAATGAGAAAGCTGAGGCACAGAGAAGTAAGTTACTCAAAGTCACATAGCGAAGTCAGGACTGGAGCTGGGTACTCAAGTGTGAGTAGGAAACTACCACATTGCTTACTACATTGCCTCATAGTTCAGGACTGGGCACACACCATGGGCATTCAGGGTTGGGCACCGCTGCAGTTCCAAGAATGATTGACTGCCCAGGGTCTAAGGTGAAGATTAACTAGATGCCATTTCAGAGCCTCTCCCCAGAGGAAAGATCTAGTCAGACCGTCGGCTTGCAGCTGACTGATGCTAAGGCAGGTTCAGGCAGACTGAAATGTCTTCTTGGATTAATTCCTCACACCTAGTACAGTGTGTTTTTCACTAACCCTTCTTCAGATGACTACCCAATTAAGTGACTTGACATGTGACATTCTGAGCTGTTGCTCTAGGTTTCCATCTGGCCTCTTTCCAGGTGTTAATTTCACACTAGCCTTGCTCTCAAGGGAATGAAGACTATGGGTTCTGCCCTAGCCCTGAGCTTCATCTGAGACCTGGCTTAGGATGGCTTAATAGATTAACATCTGAGGGAAGGACAGCCCCAGGGCCAAGAGGAGAGCCAGGCCCTCTCAGTTTCTTAAATGATAAATATTCCTGCCAGGTTGCTGTTAACAAAGAAATACTCTGTAGAAGGGCCTGGTCTCGCACCAAAGCTAATTAGGTCCAGCCAATACTAGAATTGAGGCTTCCAACACACCTCAGCTCTATATTACCTCAGAGCCTAGAAGGAGGGACCAGGGTAACTCAGGGTACCTAAAAGTAGCTCTATAAGGAGAGTGGATATCCCTCATCCCTGGGTACCTTTCCCTTGGAGCAAGCTCTGCCTGTGCTTCAGTAGGTCTGACTGGCCAGGGCACCCATTGATGGTTATTGGGAAGAAGTGAAAGCCAAAGGGAAGGTTGGGTAGATGCTAGCACAGATTTCAAGCCTAAAGACAGGTGTCAAGAGGAAGCCAATATGATAATCAGGGTCTATGAGTGCTCTTCTCCCAAGCTACCCACATTCACCAAAGCTATCTATAACTTCCTCATTCTCTTAGACTCCAGGCAGCACACACACAATTATGGATATAGCATTTTGTGTCTCAGTGTGCTGTCTAACCTGTATGGGTGAATGGAGGTGTTAATGAAAAAATTATTCATGATACCTAAGAAGATAAGTAAAGCAGACTTCATTTAAGTGGAAGACAGTCTTGATAACTTTGACAATTAGCATAGCAACCCCCACCCCTTGGTCTTTTCTGTATGAAATGAGAGCAATGCTTATACATGTGAAGATTTTGAGATTCCATATGGAAAGGGACTGACTTATGAGGTACTGAGAGCTCCCTGACTCACCATCCCTAGGATGTGCCATGGAACTCAGTCACCCTCTCCGTACTGGCTAGTTTTATGTC